TCTTGACAACTTCCAATTTTCCTAGAATCATATTTCGTACATTCCATGTTCCAATTGTTAATGGATGTTTGTAGCTGTTTTTCCCATTTTGAGTCTTTCCGCATCAGCAAATGGAGGTCCCAAAAGCTTTACACCATCCGTGTCATTAAGGTCAGCTCTACTCTGAGGAGGTAGCTCTTCCCCAGTCATATTTTGAGTGCCTTCCAACCCGAGGGGTTCATCTGCTGGCACTACATCGGACAGTGTTTCAGGGTTATTCATAAAGTTTTCCAGTAATATATCAGACAGTGTTTCACTGCTATTCATAAGGTTTTCAATGGACAATTCTTTGAGAAGTGGATGGCCCCTTCCTTCCTCTGAGTCTTTCTTAGTCTGAAAGCTCCACTGAAACCTATCTACCCTGGGTGATCCTGCTGGTACTTGAAATGCTGGTGGTATAGCCCCAGCCTCACAGCAACACACTGCCACCACAGTACAACAAACTGACAGATGAGTGGTGGGGGGCAAACTTAGGGGCCCTGATTTATGGCATAAATAGTCTACCAAGCACAACTCAAAATGCACAAATAACAATAGATAAACTAGATTATTGAGACTTTCTAAAAATTAAATACTTATGTGCATCAAAAGATTTCTCCAAAAGAGTAAAAGTGGACCTACAAAATCAGGAAAAATATTCGGCAATGACATATCAGACAAAGGACTTACCTCTAAAATGTACAGAAAATTCTAACACCTTAACATCAAAAAGACAGACAATCCAATTAAAATATTGGCAGAAGATGTGAACAGACACTTCACCAAAGAAGATATTCAGGCAGACAACAAACACATGAAAAATGTTAATGATCATTAGCCATTTGTTGTTAGGTGCCATCAAGTAATTTCTGACTCATAGCGACTGTATACACAGCAGAAGGAAACACCCCCCGATCCCGCACCAGCTCCATGATCCTTGCTATACTTGAGCCCATCATCGCAGCCACTGTGTCAATCCATTTTGTTGAAGGCCTTCCCCTCTTTCGTCACTCTCCACTTTACCAAGCATGACACCCTTGTCCAGGGAATGGTCCCTTCTGACAACATGACCAAAGTAGGTGAGACGAAGTCTGGCCATTCTTGCTTCCAAGGAGCATTTCAGCTGCACTTCCTCCAGGACTGATCTGTTAGTTCTTATAGCAGTCCATGGTACTTTCAGTATTCTTCGCCAGCACCACAACTCAAAAGCATCAATTCTTTGGTCTTCCTTATTCATTGTGCAGCTCTCACATGCATATGAGGCGGTTGAAAATATCATGGCTTGTTTCAGGCGCACCTTAGTCCTCAAGGAGACATCTTTGCTCCTCAGAATTTGTAAGAGGTCCTTTGCAGCCGATTTGCCCAGTACTATACGTTGTCTAATGTCCTGACTGCTGCAACATGATTTCTTTGACAACCTTAATCTTTTCTCTGTTTATTCTGATGCTGCTTATATGTCCAGCTGTGAGGATTTTTGTTTTCTTTATATTGAGATATAATCCATACTACAGACTGTAGTCTTCAATCTTCATCAGTAAGTGCTTCAAGTTATCCTCACCTTCAGCAAGCAAAGTTGTTTCGTCAGCATATCACAGGTTGTTAAAGATTCTTCTTCCAATCTTGATGCCATATGTTTCTACCTATAGTCCAGCTTCTCGGATTATTTGCTCAGCATATAGATTGAATAAGTATGCGGAAAGGATACAACCCTGATGCACTCTCTTCTTGATTTTAAACCGTGCAATGTCTCCTTGTTCAGTTTGAACAGCAACCTCCTGGTCAATGTACAATTTCCTCATGAGTACAATATTACACATTCGGGAATTCCCATTCTTTTCAATGTTATCCACAATTTGTTATGATCCACAAAATCAAATGCCTTTGCATAGTCAATAAATATGAGTAAACATCTTTCTGGTATTCTTTGCCTTGAGCCAAGATCCATCTGACAACAGCTATGATATCCTTTGTTCCATGTCCTCTTCTGAATCCAGCTTGCACCTCTGGAAGTTCTCTGTCAATATACTACTTCAACCGTTTTTGAATTATCTTCAGTAAGATCTTACTTGTATGCGATATTAATGATATAGTTCAATAATTTCCACATTCTGTGGGATTACCTTTCTTTTGAATGGATACAAATATGGATCTTTTCCAGTCACTTGGGCAGGTAGCTGTCTTCCAAATCTCTAGGCATCAGCGAGTGAGTGCCTCCTTTGGGGCATCCATTTGTTGAAATATCTGAATGGGTATTCCGTCAATTCCTGGAGCCTTGTTCTTCACCAATTCTTTCAGTGCAGCTTTAACTTCCTCCTTCAGTACCATTGGTTCTAGATCCTGAAGTGGATGAAGATCTACCAGTTCTTTTTGATACAGTGACTCTGTGTATTCCTTCCATCTTCTTTTGATGTTTCCTGCATCATTCAGTATTTTGCCCATAGAACATTCCAATATTGCAACTCAAGGCTTAGGTTTTTTTCCTTAGTTCTTCCAGCTTGAGAACTGCTGAGCATGTTCTTCCCTTGTGGTTTTCTAACTCCAGCTCTTTGCATATTTCATTATAGTAATTGGCTTTATCTGCTCAAGCTGCTCTTTGAAATCTTCAGTTCAGCTCTTATCTTGTCATTTTTCCATTGCCTTTAGCTACTCTCCACTCAAGGGCAAGTTTCAGAGTCTCTTGTGTCATCCATTTTGGTCTTCTTTTCTCATTTTTTTAATGACTTCTTGCTTTCTTTATGGATTATGTTCTTGATGTCATCCCACAATTCTTCTGGTTTTCAGTCATTGGTGTTCATTGCATAAATCTATTCTTTAGATGGTCCCTAAATGCAGGAAAGATATTTCAAGATCATATTTTATCTCTCGTGGACTTGCTTTAATTGTCTTCAACTTCAAGTTGAACTTGCATATGAGCAGTTGATGGTCTGTTCCACAATCAGCTCCTGGCCTGGTTTTGGCTGAAGATATTGAGCTTTTCCATTGCCTCTTGCCACAGATGTAGTAAATCTATTTCTGTGTGTTCCATCTGTTGAAGTCCACGTGTATAGCTACCATTTGTGTTGTTAAAAAAAAGGTATTTGCAATGGATAAGTCATTGGTCCTGTAAAATTCTACCAGGTGATTTCCAGCATTATTTCTGTCACCAATGCCAAATTTTCCAAGTACTAGGAATTCTTCTTTGTTTCCAACTTTTGCATTCCAGTCACCAGTGACAACACATCCTGATTGCATGTTCAGTCAATTTCAGACTGCAGAAGTTGATAAAAATCTTCAATTTCATCATCTTTGGCTTTGGGGGTTGGTGCATAAATTTGAATAATAGTCATATTAACTGATCTTCCTTGTAGGCGTATGAATATTATCCTATCACTGACAGCACTATACTTCAGGACAGATCTTGAAACATCCTTTGTGATGATGAATGCCACACCATTCCTCTTCAAACTGTCATTCCTGGCATAGTAGATCATATGGTCATCTGATTCAAAATGGCCCAAACCAGTCCATTTCAGCTCACGAATGCCTAGGATATCAATCTTTATGCATTCCATTTAGTTTTTGACATCTTCCAATTTTCCTAGATTCATACTTCATACATTCCATGTTCTGATTATTAATGGATGTTTGCAGCTGTTTCTCCTCAATTTGAGTGGTGCCACGTTAGCAAATGAAGGTCTCAAAAGCTTTACCTTATCTTTATCAGTAAGGCTGGTTTTACTCTGATGATGCAGCTCTTTCCCAGTCGTATTTTGAGAACATTTTAACCTATGTTACTCATCCTCCTCCTCTGTATTGGACCGTGTTTCTCTGCTATTCATAAGGTTTTCCGTGGCCAATTCTTTGAGAAGTGGATGGCCTCTTCCTTCTTCTTGGTCTGTCTCAGTCTGCAAGCCACGCTGAAGCCTGTGCACTATGTGTACCCTGCTGGGTTTGAAACACCAGTGACACAGCCTTAAGACTCACAGCAACACATCACCACAGTAGGACAAACCACCAGACAAGTTTGTCTCCCTTAGCTGTTCGAAACCTTTCCAACTTCCTTTACCTGGAGTGATACCGCCTCGGCAACCCAAGGAGGGGTCGCTATGAGTCAGGTCTGACTCGATGGCACATAACAACAACAATGATTGCATAACATTTCATTATATGCATATACCAACATTTATCTAACCATTTCCCTATTGTTGGATTTATAAGTTTAATAGTCTGTCATTATAGTAATGTTATAACAAAGTTCTTTTGCTGTTTGTTTTTCCCCCCTCTATTTCAGACTACTTCCTTAGGGTAGAACCGTATATATTAAACTGCTTAGATAAAATATAAAATAATTTAAGATTGCAAATACGTATTTTATCGCCTCAGAAACCCAAGGAGGGGTCGCTATGAGTAGAATCAACTCAACAGCGGTGAGTTAGGTTTTTTGGTTTTGAATACATATTTTAAATTTAATATTCTCAATTATTTGTACCACTTTGCATTTCTGTTTGGGATTTTAAATTTAGTAGTCTGTATGGATTTTCATTTTTGTCCTTGAGTGTCTTATAAGTACTGCTAAATCTCTGATAAATATTAATCCATAAAAGACTACTCTTTTTAAGAAAGGTTTAATCTTGATAAGAACAATTTTAATAAACTTCACTGAATATTTACAAAACACTTTGTTAAGTGAAACACTGTATGTAAATAATGGGAGGAATAGAAAATGGTATTGGATGACTAATCTGCAATTGCCTCAAGGAAGGCATACAATGAAACAAGTTCATTTGGCTACTTCCTCAAAGAGTTAACACAATAGGGAAAGCAAAGGACTTATCTGTAAACACCATGAATATAGAGCAAAAAATACTTAATCTTGGAGAACTGACATTAGAAAATAAAAACAACAAAAGAGAACACCTTCCAGAATAATGAGATACATGAAAAGCAAACATTCACTGGACTTGGACTCTGCATAGAAAGAAGTAGCATATTTGACCTTCACCATGATTAATAAGCACTTATTTGAGATTATGTTGCTGTTTCTGGCTTCTTCCATGATCTTCTCCCTAGAACTGAAGTCAGTTCACTTCCAACAAAGAAGAGTGAACAAAGAGAGTTTAAAACTTTTGAATGCTTTGCAGAGTTCTTTCATTGAGCAGTGTCTACCACACAGGGAAAACTTCATGCTTCCTCAAAAGTCTATGAATCCTCACCAGTACCATAAAGGACACACCCTGGCCATTATCCATGAGATGCTTCAGCAGATCTTCAACCTCTTCTGGACAAATCTTTCTCTGGACAATTGGGAGGAAAGCCACATGGAGAAATTCTTCATTGAACTTCATCAACAGCTAGAATATCTACAGGCACTCATTGGACTAGAAGCAGAACAGAAAAGTGGCGCTTTGGACACAGAGAACCTTAGATTGCAGGTTAAAATGTACTTTCAAAGGATCCGTAACTACCTGGAAAACCAGAAATACAACAGCTGTGCCTGGACCATTGTCCGAGTAGAAATCATTCGGTGCCTGTTCTTTGTTTTCAGACTCAGCAAAGCTGAGCAAATGATGAATGGACCCTTGAACCAGATGAAGCATGATCTGATCGTATGCTTTAAAAGCAGAGGGTAGGTGGAGGGTGGGAGGTGTTCTCCAGACACTATTATTATCATTGTTTTTGTCATAGGATGGTAGTTGTGTTTATGTATTTATCTGTTTTAAGATTATGTCTACTGACTACAATTGTTTTTGTTTTATAATGTCACTTTATATTTTCTATCTATTTTAAACTGTTTATGGATTGAAATGCATTCATTAATATTTCATAATTGGTTCTGTAAACGGATGTATTGTCATAAAAGTTAGGGAAATATAATGAAATATGTCTCCAATGTAATAATGCTTTCTTTAACATAAACATCCATTTTAGTGATTTCCTTCTTTGCTAGAAATTGGAAGAAACAATGAGAAATACTAGTAATAATTTGCATTCAAGGATTTAAAAATATCATTACACATTGGATATTTAGGTCACAGATGACATAATAAAAATATGAACAAAGGGCATGAACAGTTTCTAGTGGAAAACAAACACATGAAATGAGGTTCCACCTCACTTGTAACAATAAAAATACAGATGAAAAACTAATTAAGATGCCATTTACAACTTACTACTCGGAAGGAAGGTTGGGCAATCCTACTTCTGTAGTGATACTGCCTCGGAAACCCAAGGAGGGGTCGCTATGAGTCAGGGCTGACTCGACGGCACATAACAACAACAACAAATACTGGAAAAAGCCTGAAGCTTGATAAAAAAAACTCTCCTGGAGGCTTTAAGGTTTGGGCATTCTTATAATTTGCCTGAGGATTGGGAATTGGTACAATCACTGTGGAGGCAATTTGGTGCTATCTATCAAAGTTACAGGAGCTCTGGTGGTGTAGTGCCTAAGGCATTTGACTGCTAACCTTAAGGTTGACAGTTCAAACTCACCAGCCACTCAAAGTTACAGGTTCATGTCTCCTTTCATTTATCAATTACAGGTTTGGATATGTATCCTGTAGAAATGTTTGTACATGTGTGAAATGACTTATGTATAATGATACTCATTGCAACATTGTTTATACTCCCCAAAGACAAACCACTCATATTCTTCTAATTAAAGGACAGTTTTAGGGTATATCCACACAAAGGAAAGCTGGGGAAAAGAATGAGGAGGCTCTTGCTGTACTGAATAAAAGTAAAAGTGGCATGATGGGCATAAACAGTATGTATAAAATGAAATATTTTGGATAAAAATGTAAAATAAATTATATATTTCTACTTGCTTATATGTGAATTAATAAATAATATATAAGAAATAAATGACAATGACTACTATGTTTTTTTCAGGAAGGGGATTAGTGAGGAGGACAGAGTAGGAGAGTTTTTCCAGAGTATTTTTATATCTTAATTTTTAATTATATGAATGGTGCAAACTAAAATAACAAATTAACATGTATTAACAAATCACAGATATCAGAAATATGTGGAGCATGAGGGAGTCTTCCTGGTGGAAGGAAGGTTAGAAAGAGCAGGAGCTGGGGTAGCCTGCACTCAGTTGGAATGGCTGAAGGGAGGTGGGCAGGAGAGAAGTGCACACTGGTCAGCAGAGAGGGTTCCAGTTCCTGAAGATACTGGCTGTTTTGGTTCTCTAGTGTTGTTCTAACAGAAACACCAAAATGAGATGGCTTTAACAAACAAGAGTTTATTCTCATAGTTTTGGAGGCTAGAAGTCCAAGTTAAAAGTGCCAGGCTTTAGGGGATGGGTAAAGCCAGACTTTGGGCTTCAGCTCTGCCCCTTGCTCCCAGCCCACTGAAGCTAGAGGCATCTCTTCACTCAGGCAGCTGCTGGCTGCTGGGGCTGACAAACCCAAGGTCGGCAGGTGAAAAGGCACAATCCTGATATTACAAACCACACAGCAGGCCATTGATTCAAGTTCATTAACAGTCCCAAGATTGGCAGACAACATGGTAGCCTGCTGAATAATGACTTACATGCAGGATTCAAGCATGCCAAAAGCTGCAGACCATTCCCAAAGCTTCTCCTTATACACTGGCACCAGACCACATCCCTAAAGCAGCTACTCAGCTGCTTGCGACAGATTCCACCATGGAGTTGATTGCCAGTCTTATCATGGGGAATAACAACTAGCTGCCCAGCCATTCAACCAGGTCTAGCCAAGCTGACACATAACCTTAACCACCACACTAGCAATAAAGGAACGTCAGCCAGGAGCTTCCAGAAATCATCATGGGACAACTGTGGGCCAGAGAAACTGATGTTCCTAAAGCCTGGTCATTTTTTCAAATTTGTCTAGTATTAGCAGCAGAGCCATGGTCTAAAAATCCAGCACTAATTCTACTACTTTATGTTATGTGCTACTTCAAATTTGTCCCCCTACTGGTAGATAAAATATTCTTAAAGGTAAACCTTGCTGAGGAACAAAACAGATTTCAGTTAATTTAATTAGTATATCAGTCAGTAAGTGTGTTAACTATTGACTGATGCCTCTATATTTGGTTTGGAAGGGGAGAGTGGAGGCTGAGCAGGATCCTGAGAGTGAGGCATGGTTACTTGCAATAGTTAAAGGAGGCATGGAAGCAGAGGCAGAAGCTGGGATGTCAGCAGGAAATCTTTGCTGACTTCATAATTGGGCCCCAGGGTTGACCTGCTTACCTTCAAGTTCAAAAGGAAACAGTGAGGTAGAGGGAGGAGAAGTATTTGACATGCTTGACTGAAAATATGGGTCATTCTTCTTTTCATGGTCCATAGGAGTTTATTTTGTTTGTTCTTCCTTATACCAGGGACTTTTTAGAGCCAAATACTTTACTTAGCATATTATAAAATTCCCAAATCAACCTTGCAAGATAGTTTCTGTTATTATCCCCTTTTCCCAAGTAAGGTGAAGTAACTTCCTCCAAGTGATACAGCAAGCGTTACCTATGGCTTTGATCCCAGTTTCCTTCTCATTGGATACATTTTCTGAAGATAATCTTATACACCCATAACATCAACTACTACAATGAAAAAATGACCCCCATATTTCTGCAATAAATACAAACTTATACCTAGAAAACCCAAGAGATTCAATCAAAAAACTACTGGAACTAATTGAGGGATTTAGCAACGTCGCAGGATATAAGATCAACATCCAAAAATCA